TGAGTGCGGTCCGTGGTGCGGCTGCGACCGGGCCCGCTGCCAGAACCGCCTGGTCCAGAGAGGTGTCAGAGTTCGCCTCCAGGTCTTTGAGACCGAGGACCGGGGATGGGGGGTCCGTTGCCGTGACGACCTGGACCGAGGCACATTCGTCTGCATCTACGCAGGTCGGCTGGTTCCCAGTATAAATATATAAACGAATGAACTTGTGGTTCTGTTAACAGGTCTGGTTCTGTTAACAGGTCTGGTTCTGCAGCGGGCCCACAGCCCCACAGAGCCGCTGCCTCCCAAGCTGACCCGGGCCGAGCTGCCATCTGATGACGAGGTGGAGGTCGTCACAGAGTGGCTGGCCCCGCCCATCCTGGAGGCGCGCAGCGACCTGCTGGAGGCCCCGCCCCCTCTGCCAGGCTCCGCCCCCTCCACGCAGCACGTCCCGGTGATCCAGAGACCCGGCGAGTCCAGCGGCGCCACTCAGAACCAAGACCAGGTTTGTTCCGTCCAGGATGGTTTTCCTGGTGAGATACTGATGCCGGATGACGTCTTCTGGTTCTGGTTCTGCAGGTCGGAGGCCTGTCTGAGGTGAGGGTTGCCGTGGCAATGGACAGCCAGGATGATGGCAGCCCAACGAGCTTCAAACGAGGACCAGAGAGAGAGGAAGTCTGCTTCATCGACGCCAGTAAGGAGGGAAACGTCGGGCGCTTCATCAATGTGAGTCTGGAGGAATGTTCATGGAAAGTTGAGTGGAAGCAAAAATGAAAGTCAAGCAACCATTGGCTTGCTATTTCACTGATTTGATGGAATATATTCATTCATTTATTTACTGTATGTTAAATTCGGCCCACAGCACAGCTGCCAGCCCAACCTGTTCATCCAGAACGTTTTCACGGACTCCCATGACCCCGCCTTCCCCGTCATTGCCTTCTTCACCAACAGGTGAGGGGGAGGAGTCACTGTAAGCCTCTCCCCTTTTTACCCTCATGTGTGTTTTCATGCGTTTTGTGTCCATCAGGGTGGTGAAAGCCGGCACTGAGCTCACCTGGAACTATTCCTCTGACGCTCACACCTCCAGCTCGGAGCAGGAACAGGAAGTGCCTTGTCTCTGTCGTAGCAACGGTTGCCAGGGATGGCTCCACCTGGAGGAGAAGCTGTGTAACGTCTGTGCAGCTGAAGGTCCAGGCGAGACAGAGGAAAACTGATTTATGCTGCAGTTTTTTTCTGGTTTATATTCTAAATGTGTTAATGTAATAAAATCTTTGGAATTTAAAATCTGTTTGAGCTTATTTGTTATTTATGACGTTGTGTAATTGAAAAAAATGTTTTAATAAAGTACTTTGAAATGTTTGTAGATTTTATTCTTTTGTTGATTTGATTAAAACTTCTCTTATTTTGAAACTGAAAACAAAGGAGCATCATGAAATCGTGACAAGCCACCTTTTTTTGGCCATTTCAACATATTTACCTTCTAACAGTCTGGATGTAATTTTATGGCAGTTTATCAGGGCCATTATGCATGTAAAAAAGGGAGTATATTTCCACCAAGAAAAACCTAAATTTTGGGATTCCTATTTTTTTTCCCTAGAACTTACTTTGGAAATTTGAGTTTCAAGTGGAACATTTTCCACTTTTGAAACTCAGACAATGTTTGATTTTTCAAACGTACAAATTTCTAAGGCTTTTCTAGCAATGTTCTTCTTTTTACTTGTTTTTTTACTTAAACTCAAATTATCTGTTTATATAAAAAATTTTTTTTTTTTTTTTTTTTTTTACTTTCTAACTTTTATTTTTCTCTGACATTAATGAAATAATGTAAAAAGTTTTCCACCTGGCTGTTTCTTTTATAAATGGTTTTAAGTTTCCACTACAGTCAATATTTATTTAGAAATTACAGTTCTGAATATTTACACACACTGAGCTCTTATTGTGAAACCCGGAAGTGGTTTTATTGGGAAAGTCGGGAGCGGAAGTTGGCGTTCTGTTTATATCTGTTCCTCGGCTCCGTGTGACCGACTGTCCTGCTGACACCGACCCGACCATGAGCTCCGCTCTGCGGCCTACTCTCCTCTTCCTCCTCCTCGGCCTCTCCTGGGCTGGACTCGGCTCCTCCTCCTGCCGGGTCCAGATCCCTCCTCACGACCAGGTGGCCCGGGTGGCCCGCTTCATCGCCCACCAGTGTGACTGGGCCTCCATGGCCACCATCTCCAGCCACAAGCCAGTGGTGGGTCAGCCGTTTTCCAACGTCTTCTCGGTGAGCGACGGGCCCCACGGAACCAGCTCCGGGGTCCCGTACATGTACCTGACCCACATGGAGGTGTCGGTCCAGGACCTACAGGTAAACGGACGACACAGGTTCTGTTACACAAACAAACGTCACGTGACGTTGGGCTCCGGCATGACGTAGCATGTTTTATAAACAGTGACGCAGCAGTTTGGAGATCGGGTCACGTGATCAGGTCCCATAACAACCGACTGCTGGCGTTTAAATAAATTAATATTTTTATTATTTAAATATAACATATGCGTATGTAAAATGTTAATTAGTAATTTTCATTTTATCATTACAAATATTTAAAATATTTTCTTAATATTTATACAAAAAAATGCCTTGAAATAAAAATGCATATATATAATTTTACACATTAAAACATGTTTATGCACTAGTATAAAATATTTTTACTTATTAACTTATCTCATATGAGTTATTAATAAAGCGTGACCTTTGACCTCCAGGTGAACCCCCAGGCGTCTCTGTCCATGTCTCTGGCCCAGACTGATTACTGCAAGCAGCAGGGCTTTGACCCTCAGAGCCCGCTTTGCGCTCACATCATCCTGTCTGGATCCGTCCTGCAGGTACCAACACTCACCTGTTCCCCAGGTAAACCCAGGTACACCCAGGGGCTCACATGACCTCTGACCCCGCTGTGTTCCAGGTGAACGGGACTGAGGCGGACTTCGCAAAGAAAGCTCTGTTCAGCCGACACCCGGAGATGATCGACTGGCCCACGGACCACAACTGGTTCTTCGCCAAGTTCAACATCACTCAGGTACCAGAACCACCAGAACCATCAGAACCGGTTCTGTCCAGCCCAGGCTCTGACCCCTGTCTCGTTCCAGGTGTGGGTGCTGGATTACTTCGGTGGGGTGAAGGTCGTTTCTCCAGATGAATATTTCCAGGCGGCGCCACACAGGAAGCACCACTGACGGTGAGAACTGCTGGTCCTTGTAGTTCTTTATTTGCCGTTTGTAGTCCTTAACCAGAACCATTCTGGTTTGAAGAAACATTTCTTAATTTAAAAAATCCTTTTTGTAAACATTGAAACGTATACATTTCTAAAATGTTAGTAAAAATTATAAGGAAATATTTAATTATTACATGTTAAATGTAACAAAATGTTTAAAAAAACGTAACAATTTACAATTAACTATAATGACAATGTCATGATATTAATAATAAAGTTCATAGTAATACATTGCTACTTAAATTTTAAATAAATAAATTAAAATAAAACTAAAGTAAAATCAATTGTAATAATATAATTAATTATATATAATGCATTACTGAATACGTAATGTCTAACATTAATGTTATGAAGTATAAATATTAATTAAATAAAAAATTGTGTAACACTGATTATGATATAATATTAGAATATGATTTAAGTTATATAACATTAAATAAAAATACAATTTTAATAGAACACTGATTTTAATCATGAATAAAATAATTTATAATTAAACCATTATAAATAACATTACTAGAGATATTAATATTATTTATATTAATAATTGGATATTATGATGTAATGATATTTATTGTATTACTGAATATTGTAATAATATCCATATGACAATAAAACAATCAGAAAATCAGTAATAAATTATTTTTGTGTTCAGGAATCAACCTTTGACCTGGAGTGGTGGTGATGATGATGATGATGATGATGATGATGATGATGATGATGATGATGATGAAGTCATCCTCAGCCAGTTCTCTTCCTCTCTTCCTCTTCAAATTGTTCCACCTCGGCTTCCTCGGATCAATCAATTAATTAATCAGCACTAATCAATCAGCATTAATTAAATGGCTGCTGAATCAGAGAGAGTTTTATATCAAATTATAGATTTTAAATCAGAACAATATTAATCTTTTTGACAAATTTTGTCATAACATTAATAATTAATGATATTTAAACATTAATAAACAAAAAATAATTTTGCTAAACAGAAAAAATATGATTTTACAAAGTTGTAGTTCCGAGCTGTGACCACTGGGTGGAGACATTGGGCTGATTATTAACGCCATTAAAAGCACTTTAAAGAGGTTTATTTGAATATTTGCTTTAATATTAAGTTTTATTATGAACCAAAGTGTTAAGAAGTTCTCTGAGTGATTCTCTTGTTTGACCTTTGACCTTCTGAATATGACTTACTCAGTATTGTGCACTTTTCTTACTACATTTCCCATGGTTCATAGCGATAGAAAGGTGGAGCATTAATTAGGAATTAATGGTTTAAACTCAGTTAGACTAAATTTATTCACTTTAAACGTCTAAATGTGAATTTGTGATCATGTTTGTGTTTTTATCTTTAACAAAATGTCTCCACTTTTACATTCAGGGCTCAAATCTGATGTTTTATCACCTAGTAAACAGAATAAGTCAGTATTTCAGTTTGTTTGTCAGAATATATTTTCATACTTTTTTAGAAAATCAGATGTATTTTTAAAAAGAAAAATAAAGATTTTTAGCTGAAACATATCAGAGTTTGTATTATTTTCTATCTGTAATAATGTCATAAATGTGGTGTGAGGTAGTGATCCGGCCCGCAGCATGATGCTGCCGGTCGGCTCTGCAGATTGAAGCTCACTGGAGGTAAACATCTCTGAGGCAGAGTGTGTGTTTCAGCTGAATTGGTGTTTCCGTGTGTGAGCAGAGCGGGGCGGTGTGTGTGTGGGAGAAGTGTGTCGCTGTGTCACCTGGCACAGCAGCTCCTCACCACTTCCTGTCCCGTTTCATCACCGCGCTGCAGAGGAAGACGCCTCACTTCGCTGCTGCCGCTGCACGACTCAGAGCGCTCTGAACAACCTGCACCTACTGGGGACACTGGTCTGAGATGGAGCTCCAGAACCGGGTACTGGGCCTGCTGGTCGTCGCCTCGCTGCTGCCCTCCGCAGGTAGGCATCGCCCCGCCGCTCACCTGAGAGCAGAACTCAGTCCGACAGCTGGTTGGATTTAACTAGGACGTTAACGCTGAAGCGTCAAATGAAAGCGACCGCTGGCAGCCTGCTGCTGGTTCAGGATGAAAAAAAGACTTGTAAAACAAAAAAAAGTTTGTTTTTGTTTTATAAGAAATTCATTTTCAGGAAATTTAAAAAAGAAACAGGCGTGTTTCTGCTGTTTAGATCCAAAAACAAGTCGTTAAAGTGTTTTTAAAAAACTGAATTCTTTTAAAAAATCCTTTTTCTGCCTCATTATTGAATTTTATGTGTATATATTAAAATGTTTTGGTTGTTTTCTGAAAGCAGAGATGTTTTCAGTCTTAAAACTTCGACCAGAAAAAGAAGCCAAAGATGAGCACAGCCTCTGGCGGCCATCTTTGATCCTGTTTCTTCTTTTTCTTACAGAACCAAGTTAAAAGTTTCCTCCCTTTGTTTCCTAAACTTTAATATTTAAGACTTAAATTGATTAAACAAACCTCCAGTAGTCATGATGTATCCACTGCACATTTAACTGCAGCAAACTTCTTTAAACTTTAGCATGTTAGCAAACAAACATGATTAGCATCAACAAAGATATTTTATGTTTGACAACAGAAGAGAAATATGTCGACGTTGGCTCAAACTTCAAATTAAGAAAGAAAAGGCCTTAAATTAAATTATCATGAACTCCATAAAAACACTCCTGTTGTGCTGCAAACAGTAAGTCACTCTTTCCTTCCCCTCAAAGCAAACATTTATATAACAGTTTACCTTCTTTTCTTTTCGGTTTTTTTTACCTTTTTTACTATGTTTTCCAAATATTTAACCCTTTAATTTTAAAATAATTCAAAAGCCATACATTTAATGTATCAAACCTGAGTTATGATACATTTCTTTCATTTTACCAGCGACGTAACGTCACATTTATTACTGAAAATATCTCAAAGTTCAACCAGTGAAGCAGCTAAAGAAAGATTTTATTAAAGTTTTGAAGCATGTTACAAGAAGTTACAACAGCTCTGCTAATGTCTCAGTGTTTAATCAAGTTTTCAAAATTAGGAAAAATAAACAGTTTTTAAAGAATGACTTATTTTCCTCCATCTTCTCCAAACATGTGATCCTTCATTTGTTTAATTATTAAATTTAGTTGATCAAATCTGAGCCTCGACATTTTAAAGGTGAAGAAACATAAGATTTTACCTAAACATATCTATCAGTTCAGCGAATACCTTGTTGAAAAATAAAGGTTATCGATTTGAATTGAACCCGCGTCGATAAAAACATTTAATCAGCCGGCAGCTGCTTAAGTGTTAAACCTGCTTCCAAACACAGAAAATATTTTAAAAATGTATTAAAAAATGTAACAATAGTTTAACGTTCTAATGAAAGCATGTTTCTGTTATTTAAAAAAACAAAACTCCAGAGAAAACCTTCAGTCGTTAAAGATGTGCGTAGATTCTGGCGGCCATGTTTTATGCTAATTTTATCTGGTTTCAGAGAGATTAAATATAAAATACCCAGCATGCATTTTTATTTCTGTTTTAGTCATTTTTTGATCAATGAGGTTAATAATGACGTTAAAAAAACCCACATTAAGTTTAACCGCAGACGAACAGCAGTGACTCAGCGGTTGTTAGCATTTAGCTCGCAAACTGGATTAGCATCCAGAGAGTCGAACTAAAGACAAACGTTTGTGTTTTTAAAGGGATTTTATTTTTAATATTTATTTGGCATCTTTAAGATAAAGTTTTTTAAACATTCAGAGAAGTATAATATTTAAAAATTAAAATAATTTTAATAGATTTCATTCAAAATATTCTATTTTTTTAGTTCAGTAAAAACACGCGGCAAATTAGTTCATCAAATCTTTAGTATAAAAACTTAAACTAACTAAGTAGTTTCCTTAAACTAAATGATTTATTCACTTAGTTTATGATTTAAGTTATTAAACCTGTGCATGAAATAAATCCAAATTATGAAGCAAACAAATAAAATAAACTTAATCACAGCCGATGAGATTAAACGCATTTAGGGCTAAAATATAAATAAATCCACATTTAGGTGTTTAATGTCAGTTAAATCCATAAAAAACAATTTAAGCACAAAATTACAAGACATTAAATGTAATTTTGCAAAAATAACATTTCTGATGTTAGAAAGTCACTTTATAGATTTAGTGAATCGAAGTTTGAGGTTTAACATAAAATGAGATTTTAATAAAAACGTATTAAAATTAGACAAATAAAACCAAACTGTGAGTCAGGTTCTACAGAAATAAACAATAAATGGAGAGAATAAAACTTTTCATCGTATAAATCTTCAGAAGCGCTGGGCCTGACGGCCCGGTTTCTGGACCGGGTCGGTCAGGTCCATTTGGGTCTGAATGCGTCAGTATTAATATTAAACTGGAATAAATTATTTTAATTTGTTTGAATTTGAACCAGTTTAGAAAAAAGCTTTAAACTATTTAAACACTAAATGTTCTTAAACCAGATAAAACTTAGAGTTAAGTTTAATGAAAGACAACCAGAACCAGATCCGGGTCCAGTAAAGGTTCTGTCGGGTTTAACGTGCAGAAACTGGTTTTAAATTTAACGACATTTAAAACCAGGGAAAATAAACGTTAATTATTCAGCAGGAGATCCGACCCGCTAAAGGCGACAGAGGCAAGAAATAAAAGATTATCAATGAAAACTGCAGATAATTGAGGCGCCTTATAAAATAAACATTTAACCAGGAATAAAGTTTAATAACTTAAACCTGTTTGTTTTTACTGCATCGCATTATTTAATAACTAATAACTGTTCATAAGAGAAACTGATCTGCTGATAATCAACAGATTTTTAACGTTAAATTTACACCTGAGTAGTTTATCTTCTGATTAGAAGCTGAACCCAGTTCTGAAGAACCCGGTACTGATGGGCCCAGTTCTGATGGACCTGGTTCTGATGGGCCCGGTTCTGCTGGGTTCTGTTGGACCCGGCTCTGATGGACCCGGCTCTGTTGGACCCGGCTCTGATGGACCCGGTTCTGTTGGACTCTGCTCTGCAGCCTCTGCCTCAGAGCCGTTGAGCCAGCGGTGTTAATCCGCCTCTCAGAAAGCAGCTCTGTGGTTTTCCTCTCTCATCTGAACATCGGCTCTGCGGTCCGATAAAGTGACCAGAACCACACGGCTGCAGCTGATAACAGGCAGCAGAACGAGCTGAGAGCTCGGCGGCCATGTTGGACAGGGAGAGCGAGGTGAAAACGCCTCAACATGTCTGCTGCTGGGGCGCCGCGGCGTCCTGGATTCAGGCTTCAGGTGTGTTGGGTAAACTGCCAACGGTGCGACCGCAGAGCTTCATGGAGATGAAGCAGATAGTCAGAGGAGGAAACACGAAGCGCCGCCATCTTCTGAAGACGAGTTCAATATCAACAACGTTTCCACAATCACAGCCGGGAAAACCCAGATCAGCATTTCATCCTTACCTGTGGCGTAATCTGGAACCTGGACGTAAACAACAGGCTGGAGATGATGATGATGATGAAGTGATGAAAGCAGTCAGTGAACCCATCACATCCTAACGCCGACAGGTCCACATCCAAACAGAACCGGGTCAGAACCGGGCCAGAGGCTGCAGTAAAGGACTTCCAGCTTCCTTCGTCTGCTGGCAGTTAGGGAAAAAAAAGACAGGAGAAAATATCCACTGAAAAACTCAGAAAGTTTGAGATTAATCTCAGAAACTTTCTAGAACAATCTAGGAAATGTCTGAGTTTGAACATGAAAATGTTCTAGAAAAAAACAAGGAAAAAAGTTACAAATCTGAATTATAAAACAAGTATTCTAGAAAAAAAATTCTGCGTGTGACAGCAAAAGCTTTCTAGGAAAAAAAAAAGAAATTAATGAATTTGAAAAGCCGTAAATTTGCTAACCCTCCCAACGAAACGCTCTGAAATGTTGAGATCAATCTCAAATTTTTGAGAAAAAAATTCAGAACTTTCTAAGTTTTAAACAAATTAATATTTTGTTTAAAACAAGAAAAAACAAGAACATTTATATATTTAAAACATTGTAAATTTTCTGAAAAGCTTAGTTTGAGATTAATCTCAGAAAAAAAACTTTGAAATTACTGAACTTTTTTTGACTTTTGAAACTCAGAAATTTCCATGTTTTTTTCTGGAAAATTTGAAACATTTCTAGTCAATTTTCCATTTTTAAATTTAGAAATGTTCTTGTTTTTTGTAGAAAATTTTTTTTGGTGAAATTTACTCCTTTTTTCTTTCATCTACAACGACCCCAATGCGCCGTCGTAGGCGACGGTTCTGTCGGCTCTGATCCATTTTAGACAATAGACGGCGGCCATCTTAACTCCCGACGTCTCCGTTCTTCTTCTCTGCGGGTCGATTCAAATAAAAGTCCGACTGCGGTCGCATTTAATTAGCAGCATTAGCCCTTAATTTAAAGAGATGAAGAAGACTAAAGCGGTGCCACCTATCGCTGCTCCAGAGGAACAGCTGCTTTAAAGGCGCAGCTGATTTCACCGGAGCAGAGAGCCCAACTAATCCAGCAGCTAATGTTTGTTAGACACATGTGGAGGTTGGTACTGAACTGGGCCCGGTTCTGTGGAGTCCAAAGTTTCACTAGAATCAGTTCTGAACAGAACAGGTGAGACAGGTTTGGGTCGTAGTTCAACCAGTAGTTTATCTGGTAGTTTATCTGGTAGTTTATCCCGTAGTTTAAACGTTTTTCTCTCCTTCCTGCGTCTCGTTCGCCTCGCCGCCTGCAGGCATCTGGACCAAAGGTGGACCACCAGATCAGGTTCTGTCAAAGTTTCCGACCCGAAGCTGAAACCAGGTGAAAGGTTTTTCTCTCTGTCAGAGTGAAGAGAGAAATTTAAATTCCCCATTCTGAGAAATCCCATCATGCATTTTTTACTGAACGGAGAGGATTTACAGCAAACAGTAAAAGTTTTTGTGAAACCACTTAGAAATGCAAA